TTTTCATTAAAATTCATTAATCATGAATACCTATTATGATAATATATTTTTCATCATTTAATAAGAAGGAACTGTATCACAGTTTTAATGTTAGTACTTCGTATAGGATCAGATACTGCGAATACCCCATTTTTTTTTCTTTTACATAGTACACCGCGCTGTCACTTTGTCATCGTTGTAACTTATTAAATATTTGTCGAAATGACATAGTGTAAAAAGCAAAGTTTATCGTCTTTAAATATCAAAAGCGATTAAAGTATTTGTTTTGATAAAAAATGATTTGTAAATACAATATATATAATATTTTAGTTTTGATTCACTATTTTAGCGGTAATGACTTACACATTAAAAATAGATATATGGTGTTACGGACTTTTTTTTAGAACTATTTAAGAGATACATTTTCACTCTACATTATATTCATGTAACTTTTATTGTTTTTGCAGTGCAGGCCAAAATGGCTCGCAGATGGGACATTTTTTTCCGTCTCATGTGACACTTATTGCTATATATTGGCCAATTCACTCAATAACTACATAAATTATTATATATATGTAATTATCATATATGAGCTATATTACTGTTAAGTTTCATTAAAATCCATTCAGTATTTTTTAGGTGAAAGAGTAACAAAGATCCATACAAACGTAAGATTGAAATTAAAAGCGTAAGTGGTTAATATACAAATTTAAAGCGTTGTAGATCCTAAACAATCATATAAAATGAAAAATGGTGTTAGGAACCTATATATGATTTTTGATTATCTAGACAGTGATACCCCACTCGACATATTTTGTCAACTTATTTTTTTTACTTCGTCACAATATGGCGCCTAATTTTGCCCATATTGAATTTTGATTACTATCATATCTTTAGTAGCACTCCCATGATTGAGACGAATCGATTGATGTATGAATCATCAAAATCGGTCCAGGCGTTTGGTCTCTAGTGTGCCACAAAGGAACAAACATACATATATAGACTGTTAAACACATAACCCTGTCTGCGCGTCGCGCTTCGCGCTCTTGCATTGCGCAGCCGGGTAAAAATGTATGCATGTTGTGGAGATAAGTTTTAAAGTACTATTTTAAACTTTTCCACTTAATTTTAATATCAATACATCGATACGCTTCGTCTCTCCGTCAGTATAGATAGACGTTCCACGTTTAAAGGTAACCTTACCGCGCCTCTGTGGAGTAGAGATTAAGGTCACAAAATAGATAGTACAGAAGGTAATCTACAAACAAAGTGCGCCCGAGCAACGCAAACATAGACACCGCTCACGGACACAATTTCTCAGACCGCTTGGGACCAGTACCAGCTTGAGTTCCATTCGCTTAATACACGTATTTGTAAACTGTTATGTGCAAATATGGAGATGATGTAACCAAATATAGTTATTATTATATACAAATATAATTCGTCATTATGCTGAGGTAGAGACCGAGTTGGCCTTTCTTCTTGTGTTATTCCATAGTCTTTTTATGGCAATATTATTTAAGACTAATACAAAAATTATTTTCTTTCTTTATTATAGCTGTTCAGTGGACGGATGTTTGAATTCAACATTAAACGGTGAATTAACTCTTTTTTTTATATTTTGAAGCTAATATTAAATATATTTGCTATAATACCATTAAAATAGAAATAATTTAGTTATTATTTAGATAGGAGAAAGATTAAGGGATACGTTTGCGAAATATTGTTCTTTAAAGTGCTCATTTTTGTTCGTGCCCTATAAATGCTAAGCTATTATCTTGAAAACCTAGAAAAATCATGATAATAGTGCTTATCATAAACTTTTAAGGAAAATTATAATGGTTAAAATATATTAGTTACTTCAAGAATAATATTCGTTCTACTTACATATGTATTAGAAAATTTCTGACCTAATAAAAAAATCCTTAGAAGAAAACATTAAAAATGACTTAGACGAAGGAATTGCTTAAAATATAGACTCTTTCCAAAATATTTTGTGGTGACGACGAGCAACTACGGAACCCTACACTGCGCGTGGCAGGGCACGCCCTTGGCCGGTTTTTTCATTCTTAACAATAATTTAAACAACTACATACGTACAAATACCATACCATGATGTTTTTATGCACTAGCCAAAGTTGACAATCCTAGCGTGACGAACATACATAAGCTTGCCTTCTGTACTATCTGTTTTGTATTAAAGTCTTAACCTCCGTGTTACTTGAGAACTAGTCAGATTTAGTAATACATTGCTCTTTCGTAAGAAGCAGTGTTACATACGCATTCTACATTTACCTACAGAATGTTATTCGCGACCATGATATTAAATCTTGCGTATAACGTGCTAATCGGCATATTTTTAGGTTTGAGGCGATTTTTCAAATAGTTTCGTTTTCGTTTCTATACCGAATCTGTCCAGATACTTTACCGAGAACCACTTCTTGACTGGTCAGGTATCAGTGGGGGTTCGTTTTGTTTTGTTTGCTACGGTGTTAGTCATTTGTTGTAATGCCGTCACGTTGCTCGGGCGGGCGAGTCATGGTTTGGTAGGATTCGGTACAGAGGGCTGTATGGTCTCGGTAGAGAATCTGTACCAAAACGTCTCAGTGAAGAACTCTCTCATTATGACATGCTCTCGGAAAATAATCTTAACAGATTCGGTACAAAAACGAAAACGTTACGCGATACCATACCGATCCGATGAGAAAGGCGCCTAAGAATATAGTAAAATGAATATATTATGTAGGTACCATACTAAATCAAAAGTAAGATAAATAATTGAATTTACTAGTGTTATCTTATTCGGGTTAATTGTAAGTTAAACTAATATTAGACAGTTTTGCAGTTAGTCTCAGGTAGTTTACAAACAATATCGTCTTATACCCAACTAATGCAAAATATGACTTCTTTGGCCTATCTTTAATTCACGTAATAATGCTTTTATTACAGGTTTTTTTATAAAATAGCGACCCGTCCCGTTTCTAATTTATAATTATTATATGTCTTACTGGCGTCTTAATAGATACTGATATTAAACCACGATTAGGGTTGCCACTTTTTTTTTGTCGAAATAAAATGCATTGGATATTAAAGGTAGAAAAAAAAGTACATTTTGTCCAAAATAAAGTACTTTTTATTCCACTTTATTAGTAAGCTTAAAAATATATTTTACGTTGCTACTAGCAACTTTTAATAAATAATTTGCGGCTACTGTAGTTTTTTTCCGCAATGGGAAAGGTCATGATACAAATGCATACAGCCACGGAAACGTTCCAGGAATTAGCTAAGGGCAACATTTTCATACTTTCGGTCCGCTTTGCGCAAAAAATCTTCCTATCAACCTCTTTTTGTGTATTTTATGTAAAATTAATCCGCGAGTAATCAAATCACATTAAATAAAGAGCGCGTACTTTATTGTTGGCATAAAGTATAGAGTATAATAAAGTACGGGTGGCAACCCTAATCACGATACCTGCAACCCTGATTTACGTATTAGTAATTTCATCGTGTACGTTATTTTTGGCTGCTGAAAAATACTACATATATTTTTCCTTACTGTTGTGTGGCATTTGATTTGGCACAAAACGATACTCCAATATAACTAAACATTCGTTTAAAAATAGTGATTGTGCAGCTGTCACTGCGATAAGTGTATGTAAATATGTTTGCACACGTCACATCCTATTTGTCCCACCCTATCAGATGTTAAGTGTAAGTGGAGTCACAAAGAAAGCTTTTGCCCAGCGCGGTCCGAAGAGAAAGGAGACCCTCGCCCAATCGTACATCGTACGCTTCCTTATTACTAATATAAATACTAAGTTTATTCTACGGAACTCTAATAGGACGGGGCCGGACTCGCGCTTGACCAGTTTTCCCCTTATCTGGTTGTTAATTTAGTAATGTAGTATCGATCATCGGGAATGTATTTCTTTTTAATGTTTTTCGTTGAAACATATTAGCTGACCTATATTTACATTTTTTTTTGCAAATCTTAATTTTATTTTTAGAGACCTCCTCCAAAATTTCCACCTAAGACCGTGCGTGTATGCAGCACAAAATTTTACCGTTGCTTTACCATTCTACCTTGCCGGACAAAAAGGCAAGCCTCGGCCACTTAGGCCCGTATTATATAAAGATTCTCAGTGATTGATCTAATCTTGAGCATAGTTAGAAAGGGATGTCGCTATATATAGCACATAGCGACATCCCTTTCTAACTGTACTCAAGTAAAGATCAACACTTAGTTGTCATTCTGTAATACGGGCCTTAGACCCCCACAATCTTACTCACTAATAGAAACACACAAGACGACCAAAAAGTAGTATTATTTTGTGGTCTTTGACCGGCGCTGTAATTGGGGTGGAAATCCGCCCTGAAATGAGCCCTATCTTTTTTATTATTATTATTAAGATAGTCAACGGTTATTTTAACTTTACACCGTGAACATTTGCGTACTTCATATTACTTGGCAACAATGCAAGCGACGCGCTTAGGTAGTTTTCGTCTTGTCTTTAAAGTTGGGAATTAAAGAGGCTCTTTCTTAAAAGGCATTAAACTCTATGCTTTACGTTTTCATAGGGACTGCAAATTTGTACTTTCTGTATAATCCTAAGACAAAAGTACTTTAATGTTTAACGATAATTTCTAAGCAAATTAATATTTATTTTGGTATTTTTAACTTAAAATTTTGTTCTCTTTGTTTCAGGTGTTAAACTGTGAAAACAGAACAAAAAATCATGTCCGGGCTATTATGATAAAAGCACAACTCTAATAAAACCATCTTAAATTTAGTGTAAATTTTGTAAATATTATCACTTTTATATTAAAAAAAATATAATAATAATAAAATCGAAACGTAACTAAAATTAAGCTCTATCGTTAGTCGCGTGAATTAAAATTAAACAATTTCCTCTATGTGATAAAGCTCATAAAATGGTTATGTGCAATTAATGTGACTGACGTCAGTGGTGTTAGTGATTCGTTTTATTTTTATTTTAACGGCGTTGGGTGAAGGTATCGCCATGTCTTCGCGAACGGGTCAACGCGGGACTTCCGTGGCTACAAGTCAGCGGAAACACAGGTCTCGTTCCGCGTACCGGTACGACCTGGAGAAAAAGTCGAAGACCAAGGACATCAGGACTTCGGGTACCACCAGTTTGGTGTCCATCCCGAACAGCATCAAGCTCACAATGCTGAACAGCGGCCTCATATCTCTAAGTGAGTTTTTTTATTTAATTTTCAGAATACGTTTAAAGTAGGTACTTAGTGGTGCTAATAATTCTCTATATGAGTATTTTGAGAGAACATTCATCATTTAAATTCAAGCTCAATACTGTTACACACACCATTCTATCTTTCTCAATAGGCTAGTTGACCCTTTTTGGGAAAAGGTTTTAAATGGTTAATAAATGTTCTATTAGACCGAAAAAAAATGTGTTGTTTTTTTTTGAAACCTAGAAAGCTACAAATCTTTAATTTTAAAATAGACTTTTCATGGACATACAAAAACGCTGTCGGCCATTTTAGTCTATAGATTATCTATGCTATGACGTGAACTGTGGTAAACAAAAACTCGTAAACACGTAGAAAATTACTTTTAACTGAGTTTATAATAAAAAAACATGATTTCCAATAAATACCACGAATAATAAAGTAATTATCATTACTGTATTGTACGAGAATATAAAAACACATCCTTGAAGACTCCAGGAAAGTTGTGGATTAAAGTGCCGAAAGAAATTAACCTAAGCAACTTTATTACACTTATTCATATGTTGTATCAGTTTTATGTTTATTACTACATTGTAATACTAAATGCACTGTAATTACATAGATGCCTTGTCGTTTCTCTGCTCCGCAGAGCAAAATCGGGGTTTAGTGCAACAAATTCACCAACCATCAATGCGTCAATTCTTGGCAGATTTGTGCTTTCTGCTTTCACAAAGCCGGCATCCATAATTAGTTTAGTCAAAAAAAACTAAGTTAACTGTTTTTTTCTTTCCTAAAGTTAAGTGTTTTAAGATAAATTTAGTCAGACGAAAGAATCCACCTACAGTAACACACGGATGACATTTAGTTGTTTACCACAAGAGACGTCAAAATCATGGCGGATGTGGCGAACAGCGTTTTTAGTGTTTAAAAAATATAGACTAAAAAAATGGTTGCCTGTAAAGTCGGTTTTACGGGCGAAGATTTTACGTGACAACGTCTTTTTCTCGGTAGAATATTTATTGATATGAATATAATTAAATTGCACAATAGGAACAAGGAATTGAATGAAAATAAGAATTGCACAAATTTTAACTATAGAAATATATTTTGTTTACTAAAACATTGTACATGTAAACTTAAACTTAACACGAGAGACTCATCGTAACGTTACCGAGCGTTACACTTTTTCATAAGTGACTCCCAGCCGCAACCTAATTTAAGACGTTGTCACGTCAAAAATATTTTTTAAAATTAAATTTCTACAGCAATCTTCTGCTTTTATGAAGTGAAATCGATATATTAAGGTTCCTTAGACTAAACACTTTAAGAAATAAACATTTATTTAATACAATTCGACATGAGTAAACTAGCCTATTGTTTGAATTCAAACAGATATAGGATATGAGGAGCTCGATGGCGCAAATGGTAAACGCGTTCGACTGCGATCGTTGTAGTTAAGCAACTTTCGCAGTTGTCGGTCATTGGATGGGTGACCAAAAAATTTACTATATCGAGCTCCTCCGTGCTTCTGACGGCACGTTAAGCCGTTAGTCATGGCTCAATCTCCCTATTCCATCCATAGGGAAGGCCTGTGCCGCAGCAGTAAGGATATTAATAGATGGATGATGATTATCATTAAAATACTTTCTTACAAGTGGACCTTACTTAGCAGCAGCTAGTGGCAACAGTAATTAGGGTCTATGCAGTTATCATTATTATTAAGGATTAACCTGATGATATATAATTGAACTGTGACCTGCCGCCGTTCTATACCATACAAATAAATTAGAATTTTATATTTTTTCGGTTTCCAATAGAGTGACAAATATGTTTCTAGAGTATGAAAATATGACCTTTAAATAGTTATATTGACGTAAGCTTTGCGAACGGTATTCATTATAACATGTTCATAACGTACGTACTATGTTGATGAATGTCGGAGTACCTATATGGTATTCTAATCAATTTTCGATTATTTGTGAATAAAGCTGCCGAATTTTCAATTAACGCCAGGTGGAACGGAGTTGTTTACACACTTTGCGATGAAAAATATCCTGAATGTACAGATAATTTTTCAATACATGAAACATTATATTTTTTTTAGATCTTATTTAAATTAATGAAGTCCATAAACATGAAGGTCCAAATTTTCATCAGTTGTTTCGTGTAAACAAACACATTTAAAATTTGCATAAACCAAAAATCCCATCCATGTAACTGGTAGACAAATAAATTAAAGACCTGGGTAAATATTTAGTCAATGTTGGGTTTTGCTTGCAAACAGGTCGGTTACAACAAAGAAGTATGCAAAACAAAAGAGCTTGGAATAAAAAAAACTCTTAACTTTCATATCTGGACATCATAACGGGTAACGTTTTGTGACCGGAGTAAATAAATCTATAAAGATTTAAAGGGCGGGTAAGTTCTCGAATTGTGACCGCGCACCTAACGACTGGGTAGGCTAGGTGAAGTAGCGGATATTCCGCTCGAATTGGAGGAGTTACTTCCACCTTACAGCAGACCACAGTAAAATTACATAACCTTCTGATAGTGTTGACTTTCTGCCGGTGAGTAAGGTCCCAGGGCTTCACGGGGTAAGGAATTCGGTCAGGCAAGGCATCGGCGCGAGTGATAGTTTTTGTATAGCAAGTGTCTATAGGCTATGGTGCCCGCTTACCATCAGGCGGACTTAATGACTGGGACAAACAGCACCAACTTCTTTTTTATGTTTAATCAGTATCACATAAGCAGTTTGGGCAGGCAATGGTGCGAGTGATATTTTTTAAAAAAGTCAGTCAGTCATCACTGCAAAATATAGCCATTACAGGAAAAGACCATAATCTTCATACTACCAGTAACAAACAGTTATGTGGATATGAAGCGAAATGGTCATCTTTATCAGTACTGGATGAATGCAATCGCAATTTCAAACTCAATTTCAGATGTGTATAAGTTATTGACAAAGTTCCCGCAACGATTTAACAGAGCCACTTGACAGATTTAGGCGCTGCGCAAACGTAGACACTTTTGTGTCTTGTGTTGGATACAAGCTGCCAATGTATATTTGATTTCTATAGAACTAGTATGAAATCAGCCACTTCCTGCAAAGACGTAAAATTACTTTTTGTCCAGTTGCTACCACTTTGTACATACTCGTTGAAGATCAAAAAGTTTTCTGTACCGGTAACTGGAAAATAATAGTCGTCAATTAAAGACACAAGCAACGGTAACAAATTTCCTTACAATAATTTCTCTGAGCCGAGCCCTCACCTGCCACAGCAACTACGGTTTCCAGTGACCAGAGAAGTTAAAGTAAAAATCATATGCCAATGGTGTTTCAGTAGTTCTGATTTTTGACACAGTTTTCGTAAGTATAATACATAATCACAAATGTGTTTACTTTGCATGTACTCATTTTTATTATCTATATTCATTTTTATTATTTATTAGTAAAAAGAACTGTGCTTAAAAGCAATTTCATTGAATCACTATTGAGACAGGATTTTTACATTAGCTTAGCACAATCGACCTCCAGGAGTAGCTGACAACTATGTCCGATCGCCATTAAAGGACACAGCAGCTACGGTTTCCTGTGATGGTGTTCCGCCGTGTCGCTAACAAAAAGTGTCTACGTTTGCACGCCTTAGCGTACAGCTTCCTTATTTAGAAAAAGTCGGACATGACTTTATTTCATTACCCTTTTTTCTTTGTCAATTTCATGAAACTGACAGTGACAACCATTGATACTCGAATTCAGAGAAATCTTCTGCTTGTGAATATTTTTTGTTAACATAACAGCGCTGGTAATGTCATGTTGTATAAAATCAGATTATAACTGATTCTTAAAAGGTCTTTTTGTAAAAAGTTCATTTTGTTTATATAAAGATACAAAGTTAAATCAAATACAAATCATATTAAGCCAAAATAGATCTTAAGTCTATTGATATTTTTGGAAAATTCTTGCTAAATTGAAAATGTATAAAATTTCACTCAACAGCTGAACAATTTAAATTACCACATGACCGAACTGAAGTTTGATCAACACGGAGCGCGCAAGAATGTGTTTACCAGTGAATCTGCAATGTCGTTCGATAACGTTACATTTTTCATTTTACGATCGAGCATTAATGCTGGATTACCTATTATATTTTATGACATCCGCTCATCCCTGATGCTGTACAAAATATATTTCAATGACTTCATTAAATTCTATGTAAAATAAAATCATGATCCAGTTGTCAACAAATCGGTTTACGTACACAATGGCGGCCATCTTCCTATAGAATGATGAACAATTGAGAACCTACTCCGTTTTCGAAACTTGGTTAATAATCTGTAAAATAACATGTCACATGCTATTGTCATTCCGTTGCGAGGAAACGTTGTATAATTTCCATTAAACAATGAGTAAATTACTGGGACTAATGAATATTGCCAGCGGCAAATAATTATCTAGTCCACGACAATCAATCAAATATTTGATATGACAAATTAATAATTTATTACTTAAACTGAAACTCTAAAGCTTATTTAATGATTTAAACAATTAGAAAGTAGAAAGTAGAGTTTTACTTAACACTTTCCTACAGGCCCAAGTTAACTAAACTTTTCTTAATCAACTGTGACGATCGATCTTCGTGGCGCGAGTGCTATGTACGCCTTTACGAACATTTGTACTACCTAAGTCGATGTTTATATGTATTTCTAGATAAATATACTTACTTTTTTAAGTATCAGTAAATGTATTCCTCCGTTACCCTAGCATCCCATGACACTAGCCTTACAGTGCTTCCATTTAGAACTGGGCTGTGAGTTTTAGAGATATTTAATTAATTTACTAATTATCTAAAAGTCAGTTTTAAATAGTTTAGGATTTTTTGGAATCATGATGACCTGTTCTCATCGATTCTTCTTTTTTCATCTCTGGTAATTGTGAGTAACTACCTCACAATTACTTTTGACTTACTAAAGTCAAAAGTATAAATAGCTACTCATATATTTATTTATTCGGAAGCGATTACTTTGACATAATTTGAGTGGTTACCGGAACATTACACCGAAGCTGCCATAAAATATATGAAAAATATCAGTATTGAATAGCTACTGCTTTACAACACCAGAGGACCGGAATAAAGATGACATTACATGCCCTTTTGAGCACATCAAAGCGACTAGGTACTTAGTTTTAGGCAGCCTTCATTACTATTTCAAGACGGAGAACACAAGTGACTCCAACACTTTACTTATTTACACGTTTTTTTGGGTCTACATGTTTTATGGGTTGGGACATGCTACCGTGATTTCGTTTTATTATATCCATCAGAATTAAAAGTAATCGATTAAATGGACTCAAGACAAGGTTTTTGAGAGTTAGAACACAGCTAAGGTCACCAGGTTACCACGAAACCCGGCAGGCGCGGATGCACTGTTGCCCCTCTTATCCCCGCTGAGTCAGTTTGGTTGAGCGGGTGGGCGGGATTTGGCGGGAGAAGGAGTCCCACATAACCCCGGCTCTCACCCAGGGGCGGGGTATGCGTCACGCATTTTCCCAACAATAAAAAAAATGGATGCGTGTAACTTATGTACGCGCGTGAGAAGTTATACTTCTTTAGCATCATTAAAAATATTTTTTAATTGCATGCAAATAATTAATAATTACAATAAAATAATAAAAGGACTGGAAAAGGATAGTTAACACAGTCAATTAAGTTCAGTTTTAATTTGAAAAATTAAATAAATATTCAAAATATTCAATTAAAATCACTACTGAATTTAAGTTATTAGTCCATATGTAATTAGCACTTGTAAGTAACTAAAACACGTTGTGTCTATATAGAAACTAGAAACATGTGGATAAATATTATAAATATGAAAACAGTGATCAGAGGCGACGAGCGTGCCAACATTGTTTTTGACAACGCGATCATCTTATGGAGCTCCGTGGATCGTTCAAAGTACCTTTCGAACAGATGTCTAATAATGGTGGATTATTAACCACTAAGTGGTTAATAATCCACCATTATTTTTGTAACACCATAGTATTAAATATCATCACGCCGCCCGTTACTAGCTGGCGCTGTACGCATGTGAATCGCGCTATCCTATACCGACACCGATTGTATGGCACATCATAGGATCAAATATCATCACGCCGACCGCTACTAGATGGCGCTGTACGCATGTGAATCGTGCTATACTATACTGACACCACTTGTATAAGGTGTTCTTGGGAAATTGACCAAGTCATCGCTTCGTAGGTAGGGCCTATTGTCTTGCACGCTATACGCTTCCACCACGTGGGACGTCTTAGTGTCTTGATAATAGTATACATGTACTTCCACCCTTGTGGGATACAGTAATACCATTTCTCCTACAAATATTGAATAGTAATCACAATATAAGTATTTTCTACCTACGCCTATCTTTATTTGACGTCAGTCTTCTCACTCCCCCTTCGCCCTCCCGCACATTCTTACAGTTTTATTAAATTATAAATATGAAAACAGTGATCAGAGGCGACGAGCGTCCCAACATGTGCGACTAAGAGATCCTATTACTATTTTGTTGGAAGCTTTTTTTCGAGACTTACGAGTAATGTGCGGTTTAGCGGCCGACTTCATGGTGTTACTTTTCTGTTACAGTGTTGCGCGCGCATCTTAAAATTTCACTCTCATCATTTTTTCATAACGCGCCCGCGGCTAACTTCATTATGTTACTTTTGTGTTACAGTAATGCGCGCGCATCTTAAAATTTCACTCTCATAATTTTTTCATAACGCGGCTAAAGAAGTATAACTTATCTGGGGATGCAACCTCCACCTTACAGAAGACTAAAGTAAAATAACCCTAGCTTTTGGTGGCGTTGTGTTTCTGCTGGTGAATAGGGTTCCAGGACTCCGCGGGATAGGGGATTGGTTTCAGGCCGGCAAGCTGAGGATGACTGGAGCAGCACACTTTCTGCCGCATCGACTATCTTCGCGACTGGACTCCACTTACACTTAACATCAAGTGGGGTGGGGTAATTTGCTGCACCTCGAATAAAAATATATGAATCTTTTTTTTAATCACTTTACGTAACAAAATAAGGTACTAGTAATAGCTAGTGGGTCAGAAAAATATGCCGATCCAACCATCAACTCATCGATCAACTCATCCTTAATTATCGCTTAATTCCAATAGTCTTCTTGGAGCCCTAGAATCTTACTCATGGACAGAAACACAACACTACCAAAAGTTATTTCACTATGATCTTTTGTGAGGTCGATGATGTTTCTCATACAGTATAATCATATTCTTTCAAGTATTTTTTTTACCAGCGCTTATTGTTTTATAGCCAATTTACCCATTTTATTACTTACAAACAAATTAATTTCTATCAGTAGGTACATCAAAACCGCTTGCGATCAATAGGATGAGATCACCTCTTCGTTTATGAACCACGTCAACAACGCCCTTATCAGATATGAACACGTTAATCAATATCAGCTATGTTGGTTGCGTGTAGATACGGATAAAAAAGGGGTTTTAGTAAAACAAAGCTTATCCCATTTAAAGCATCATACAAAGATTATAACAGTAAATGCCTGCGCTGACGAGGGACTTTGTTCGCGGACATTTTTTCCCGTCTAATTAGATCGCTTATAACTGCATCGAGTAACGTACATGAGAAATTAAAAGTACCGCGTAGAAAAAGTCCCCCCAACAACGACCGGACTGGATAAAAGTACGGGGGTGTCCCCGAACGCTGCAACGCACACAGCGAACTTTAGTCCGTGTTGCGCGTTAGATCCAATTTAAAGTGATGGACCCAGTATTATCTTTTAAAAACGTCTTCTTTTTTTTCTTAACCCTCATGTTAATTACAAAAACGTAATTTGAGAATATTTACTTCGATAGCGAGCGCTTCTCTAAATTTTTTGGGCTGCATCGCACACCGCCCCGTGTGCGTTGAGTCCTTGACAGTCCTCGGTAAAGATTTTTTCCATTATTCAAGGACTTTTCTCCTCCACTGACAAATTCCCTCGTCTGCACAGGCCATAAAATTAAATCACTTAATACAGTCAAAACCGTTCTATTGTTATATTACAATTAAAATTATCTTTGGCAAGGCTTTTTGTTTTGTTATAAGTAAACACGTTTAGTCGAACCAGCACTCTTCTCTTTTCGGGCGAATTCGATGTTAGGGACAATACAAATTTCTAAATAATAACTCACTAAATAAGCGCGTAAACAATTTGTGATTGTTCCTCCCCAAAAGCCATTTCCCATAAAAGTTAGCACTTATACAGAAAAGGAAGGGAAGTATTCGAGTACGCACTGAATATTTTATTAAAAACGTTTCCGTTCATGCCGCTACGCGACGCTTGTTTTTGTTTTCTCACGTAGAGATTTCCTCGGTGCCGCCCGGTTAAATAGCGGAGGCGGCGACAACAAAGTGTTAGTTGAGATATTAAACATTATTATGGAAAATTTTCCCAGCTAGTACATTTATTTAGATCATAATAATAAAAAAATTAGATGGCGCAAGTGGTTAGCGCTTTCGATCTGCGGTATCTGATCATAGCGGGGTTTTGCGCTCGATGTGTTGTTGTGTTTCTGTCGGTGAATAAGGTGCCAGGGCTCCACAGAGTAAAGGATTGGATCAGGTTATACAACGGCGAGAGTGATATTTTTAGTATCGCAAGCGTCTACAGGCTATGGTAGCTGCTTACCATCAGGTGGACCATATGCTTGCTTGCATCCCGTTTTAACACAAAAAAGATAAGCAACTTTCACAATGGCTGATCTTGGGATGGGTGATCAAAAATGTATTACCTCGAGCTCCATTGTGCTTCGAAAGGCATGTTAAGCAGTTGGACCCGGCTGCACCTGCAATCGTTAGCACCCACCTATTTGCCCTGGGCCCGCGTGATGGGTCATAATTCATATATATAATGATGGTGGTCTTAACATATATTTTCTGATATCAGATGTACTTATTATAGACATCTGCAGTCAAACTTCTCGTAAATAATTAAGTACCTAGGTATTAAGTAGGGC